ACGTATACATTTTGGGAAAATCTATTTATGGGATGTTATACATGACATTTGAGGGCACATTTCTAAAATATTGGCCATTATACAGGGTGTCCCAATTTCGACCTACATATCGAAGTTGTGATTTTTCAAAAGGCATGCCCAAAGGAATAGTTTCCTAGCATTTTGCATTTATCAGCAACGGTACCCTAATATGCGACATCATTTTTTTTTATTTTTTCGGCGGGATTGATATTTTTAACATGTACCGAAGGTACCTGTCGTTTTTCAACAAGCCCAATGTCCCCGTCCTTTTGTTTTTATACTGATTACAAGTTCGATCTTCTCTACGTCCTGTTTTCTTTGCTAGCATCACAATTGTGTTTTCAGAATCCTGATGAAGGCTCCATAGAGAATGCCGAAAGCATGATTTTATCGTCAAAAGAGTCAACTTAAGCCTACAAAAATTGGCCAATTTCCCAATTAACAATTAATTGTATATATATGTATATTTATATTAGCTGATTATTATTAGTTTTTACGTCAAATCTGTATTCTTAGTGGTAAAATGGAACTAGCCCACTGCTTGAATTTTGTTTCCATGGATTATGTGATTTTTTTCCTTAATTTTGGTGTGTTGTTCTATTAAAAGCTTAATAACTCAAAATCTAGTGATTTTATCTGAATCAAACCTTATACAAAAAAAAGCTGATAAAAATTGAATCCAAACTCGCACAAATATATAGGGTGGTGCATTTGAAATTTTTGAGAAAAACTGCAATTTGCGTTTTTGACCACCCTGTATGAGCAAAAATGAAAATTCGAAAAAGTTACAAATAAGATAAAAGCTGAGGTTTGTAAGTTTTTTTTGATACAAAATTCAGCACTCCAAATATCAAAATGGCGGATTGAGGGGTTGCCGAAGTGGACGGTTTTTCTAGACAAAACACCTTACATCTCAGTAGCTAATTACCAAAACCCCATAGTATGTTATATCAATCTTCTTCTTTGGAATTGTTTTATCCAAATATGCAATAAAATTTGAGGCATTCCATTTAAAAAATCACAACGTTCATATGTAGGTCAAAATTGGGACACCCTGTATAATTGCCAGTATTTTAGAAATGTGCCCTCAGATGTCATATATAACATGCCATAAATAGATTTTCCCAAAATGTATTTGTTTATGAGTAATATTCCGTCCACACATGGATGGACCACCCTGTATATTTAACAAAAGAGGGCCTAACGCTGTACCCTGAGGTACAAGACATTTGACAAACATTACTACAATAACTTTGCATCAAAGAATATATTTTCCCACTGCATCTTCTATCGCTTTGCCAGTACCAACCGGCTCACCCTAAAAGACCTGTTATGGATTGAGGCAAGTTGCTCGCAATTAAGCGCCAGGATTTGCTGGGAAATGACACACGCTGGACGGCAATAACAAGCCAAGATTTCCATTTTTACGCCATCTGACTAGAGCTGTATAACAATCATGATAACGTATTGCATAATGCGCAAGCACATTGAGCCTACCCCAAGGTGTCCATAGCCATAAAATATATCGCAAGTTCGATACTGCTGTGCCGGTGATTTGTTTTATTTGTCGAAATCTAATAAATATGCCTGCCGATCGCGGCTCACATAAATCCAAACGGATCTAATAAATATTTCATAATTATGATCGTAAAGTAGGCCGTCAAATCTACAATTTATTAACTGAAGACGGTATCCGGTGGTGTTCGACGATGCTTTTTTATGTTTTCTTTCAACCGATCGCCCATCCAGCATTGATTTATTTTTTGTATGTTAGTTTTGTGATTACCTGGGAGGAAGCCTCTGTGCCAGCGTCGTCGATGGCTTTTACATCACTTCGAAATTTGTTCGTTTTTATTTCACTGTGAGTAGCCGCCCACTGTGGTGGTTGTTCGATTCAAAAGGAAACCTGTGACCATTTGAAAGGAAATACAGGGTGGGCCAAAAGAAGCTGACCTATTTTTTAATGTAGTTTTTACAAAAATAAAGTATATTTATTGGAGTATTAAGTATGAAAAATAATGTCGCGTAGGTGAGGGTCATTTTCTCTTTCACACACAACATTCCTTTCCAAGACATTGTCCATAACTGCCTCCGATGTTTCTCGATTTATGGCTCGAATTTCCCTTATGATATTGTCCATAAGTTGTATTGAGGTTCGAGGTTTATTGCGGTAACGTCTTTCTTTCAAATACCCCCATAGATAAGAATCTGGCGCGGTTAAATCAAGGGAACGTGGGGGATATTCAATTGCCGATCTTTTTGAAATCAGACGTTATTCAAAGCCTCTTAGCAATGCCATTGCGGCTCCAGCTGTATGAGCTGTGGCTCCATCCTGTTGGAACCATATATCAGGTCTATTTTCAAGTGATGGAATCAAAAAATTTTCAAGCATAGCTCTATACCTCTAGCCAGTAACAGTCACCGCAGTTCCATCGTCATTTTCAAAGAAATAAGGCCCAATAATACTCTGGGTGGTAACACCACACCAAGCCGTACATTTAATGGGGTGTAATGCTGTCTTGCGTACAGCCCTTGGATTTTGCCTTCCCCAAATTCTTGCATCTTGCGTATTCACAAAAACATTCAGATGAAAATGCGCCACATCCTTCATTATTAGACGATTTAAAAAATGTTCTTCCTATCTAACCAATTGCTGAGAACAAATGACATAATTTAGTCGTTGTGCATAATCTTGTGATCGTAAGTGCTGAACCATTTGAATTTTGTAAGGAAACATCCGCAAATGTTTCAAAATTCTTCTGAGGGATGTTTCGGGGTCGTCCTGAACACTTTCCTCTACTCTCTCTATGTTTTCTCCAGTGAAAGCTAAACGTGGTCGTCCAGTTCGGGGAAGGTTCGATACAGAACCCCGGGTTTGAAAACACCGAATAATGCTGCGGATAGCCCCAGTGGATGGGGCGTTTCGAACATTAAAAAATCTTCAATAAGCTCTCTTGGTGTTTACAATCGTATGATTATGTTTATAGAAAAATTGTACGACTTTGGTACTCTGGATTCTAAAATATCCAGAGCTCTATTTTGTAAATCTGAAAAAAAATCAAATATGTTGACTTGGGAAAAACTTATGAATTTTTAAAATCAGTCAGGAGCTTTTAGACCACCCTGTACAAGGATCGACATTTTTCTCATCCGATTTTTTGCTCCAAGGATTCTTGTAGATCATGAGTTCCCAACCAGGGGGGCGCGCCTCCCAAGGGGGCGTAGGGAGATGTCAAGGGGGGCGTTTGCATTTAAAAAGAAAAAACAATAAAAATAAACAAAGAACATTAACAAATAACGTTACATGTTACGTGTGTAATGTTTAATTTAATCGCATAAAATTAGAAATTAAATATCACATATTCACATATTGGCAAGCGCTGTTTCAAAACCCGGCGTCGTCAATCGCAGTTTATACAAGTTTTGACAAGTCACAACATGAAATCACTTAGAAAACAATTGTGTACGTACCAGACGCGGATGAGCACAAACTTGCGAAAAATTTGACGATTCGCTGTACATGTTTTGTTGAGAAATCTGTTTGTGTGTGTGTCAGATTGTTTCTCACTGTTAAAAGGTAAGTTTGTGTATTTACAAACTTCAGTCACCATTTTTATTTAATTTACTAAATTATTGATTGAGTGGAGACGTGTTCATAGATCGACCGTTGGGACTTTTTTACCACAATCGAACTAACGTGGCGAAATAATTTTGAAACGACGAACTTTAAGTACCTAATATTGATTCCAAATGTATTTAAAGTTAATATTGTAACGTCAACCTGTCTACAAAAATATAAATATCCCGGTGGCCAATATACTGTTGAATACATTACGTTATTAAGATAAAATAATGCCCATATAATTAGTAATTACATGTAGGTATTTTGCTTATTTATTTATTACTTATTTGTGTTATTGTTATAGCGAAAAAAGGAAAGTTTTCCGTTTCCACGTTAAGTTTAGATTTACTATCATGAAAAGGGCGAGTTACAATTGCCTCAGTTGTGATATACGCAAAGTTGGGGTTTTCCTTTTCAGAAACAACTACCCTTGAAATAACAAAGGCAATGTGTAGTGAAACGAGGGCGACCAAGTAAAAAAAAATAAAGGAAAAAGTACTCAGTCTCCAGTTGACGAGAAGGGCTAAGTACGTCTCTGCCCGAAATCATACCGCTCCAGCAGAAAATGAAATCAGCTGATGCGCTATCGAGCAGACGCAGGCAAACAAGGAAGGCACAATGTTTCGTAAAAAGTCTAGGTATTGCATCCCGTCCAATCGATTTGGGAGAATAAATGGTCCAATGAGCATACCGTTCACCATGCCAGCCCAAACATTCACCGAAAATGTTTGTTGAAAATGTGCCCGACGGACAGCGTGCGGATTTTCTACTGACCCAACATGAGTGTTGCGAAAGTTATCCACCCCATTACGCGTGAACGTAGATTCGTCTGTCACCAATATGCACTTCAAAAAGTCCGGATTATTGTCATGTTGATGCAACAACCACTCACAAAACCGCACTCTTGCTGGAAAATCGTCGGGTTGAAGGGCTTGTACACGTTGGACGTGAAACGGATACAGCCCCTCTTCACGCAGCGTTTGCCACACTTTAGTTTTTGATACTTGCACTTCTCTAGCCACGTCTCTAGTGCTTGTTGAGGGATTAACGTCTACGCGATCATCTCTACACGCGTGACCGTAACCGTCGGTTGAAGGTTGCATACTGACCTGACACACTGACCCCGACCCAGTTCTGTCGTCGGGTTGAGCCAGTCGGTGATGTCGCGGGTCGCGGCTACAGGGCGATATTCAGATATTTTTGATGTTGCAGAGCCCTTTACCTCGGTTCCCTTAAGACATTGGTGTATATGGTACTAAGAAAAATTGCTTATGTTTTCAAGATCTACACGTCGTGTAAAGGAAAACCCCAACTTTGCGGACACCCTGTATATGAAAGTTTTAAGTAATGATAGCATGAGGCCCAATCTCCTTGAAAGGCATTTGAAGTAACAACATCCTACTCTGGTTTTGAAGACGAAAGAGTTTTTTTCTTCTAAAGCAGAATCACTCAAACGGATGAGACTGGATAAATCGGCAAGCTATCACACAGATGTATCGCAGCATCTCAAAGCTTCATTTGAAATAGCTTTTATGATAGCAAAGCGAAAGAAACCTCATACTGTCGGTGAAGGATTAATAAAACCATGCGTCCTAAAAGCCACGTAGATAATTTTAGGAGAAGATGCAGAGCAAAAAATTAGGTCTATTTCTCTTCCGGATAACACAGTCAAGCATAGAATCGATGACATTGCAGCAGATATAACGTCACAAATAATTAACAAAGTAAAATGATCGCCATTTTTGCCATTAGTTGCGATGAATCCACCGACATCATTCAAGAAGAGATTTTTTGCTCCCAATCTGTGACAGCAGGTTCTGAAGATATATTTAATTGAATATAAAATTTTATAGAAAAAACTGATTTGGATTGGAAGAAACTCATTGCACTTTGCACAGATGCAATGATAGATATACGATCGGTCTTAGCTAAAAGGCTCAAGGATAAAAATCCCGCAATGGTTAGTACACATTGTGTTATTCATCGGCAAGCTTTGGCATCCAAAACATTGCCACAGAAATTACGCCATTCTTTGGACTCGGCTATAAGGATTGTAAACTCATCAAGAGCAGCGCTTTGAACTGTCTGTTATTTACTTTACTTTGCGAAGATCTCGATTCCGATCACAAAGTTCTTCTGTTCCATACAGAAGTACGCTGACTGTCCAAAGGCAACATGTTGCCTCCCCTTTATGAATTGAAAGAAGAGTTAATTCTTTATCTTAATTTCAAAGAAAAACACGATTTTTTGCCAATGTTTAAAGATGACACATTTCAATAGAAGTTGGCTTATTTAACTGACATATTTGACTTCTTGAATGAGCTAAACTTGAAACTTCATTGTAAAAATAACTCTATAATAAGCAATTATGATTATATTCAGGGGTTCATATCAAAGCTTCAACTTTGGAATCAAAAAGTGTCTTCTGAAAATGTTATATCTTTTTCCCGGCTCTACGAAGCAATTAAAAATAACATACTGGACGCAAATTTAAAAGCTGACATAACTCATTTGCAAGCGCTGGAGGACGAATTTAAAGCCTCGACAAAAAAAAGGTTGAGATACAATGCTATAGAGCATTGATTCCCAAAGTGGTCTATATCGACCCCTAGAGGTCTATGACAACCTGCAAGGGGTCTACGTCAGCGAAAAAAAATTTGGGGGTCCATGAAATGAATATGGGGTTCCACGATAGTGGATCTCAACATATACACTGATAGTACCTATTTACTTACATACCTAGTGGAAAGGGGGTTCAGCGCTGTTACCAATCTCCTAACGAAAAAAAAGAAACGGACTGGACATCATTAGCCGAGGAGATTTAAGATTAACCCTTACAAAATTGACGCCAAATGTTGCTAATTTATTATTAAAGCATCAGGTTCATCCTTCTCACAAAAAATATTGACTTATTGCTTATGTTATTTTATTTAAAATTTATTTTATGTTTATTGGTGTCTGACCAATAAATGCCCGCATTAGGAATAAGTGCCCGCATTTCTTTAAAGAACCCCCCTTTATAGAAAATATATATTTTTTTAAATTATTCTGAAAATTCAAGGATAGGTACACACTAAAATTCGTTAATTTTTTGCCTATTTTTAGATAACTTAAATGTAAAAGAAGCGGAATTTAATCAAACTAACAGTGAACTTATTGTAGAACATACATTTATGTTATAATTAATAAACGAACTCGCTTATTGTACTATTTTAAGAAAAAAACTTTTTTTTTATTATTTGTCACTTTTTTTTTATTTTATCCCTCTTATTTTTTTTCAATGCGGGCACTTATTCCCAATGCGGGCACTTATTGGTCAGACACCTGTTTATTTAATGTTACGTATATTTTACATAACAGATACAAAATTTTATTTTGAGTAGTTTTAATTTAAATTCAATGAATAAATGTGTAAATTAACATGTGTTTTTACTTTAAGTTTTTAACACTAAACTTCACTACAGTTAGAAATATAAAAGAAATCAATATCTGGTAAGTAGGGGGTCTACCCAACACGGAAAAACATGGCAAGGGGTCTACGACACAAAAAAGTTTGGGGAACTCTGCTATAGAGCAACAAATATAGAAGAACTGAACGCTAAGCCCTACTACTGAAAAAACAGCAAAGAAAAATCCAATAAACTGAGCCATCGCTATATCCCGATTCTTCATCCCTCTGATACTAACATCCTTTTATTCCTGCAACTACCAATCCCAGAGCATCATTCTCTCTCTCCTTTCATTTCATCACCCCTCGAAATTGCGTCGTGATTTTTATCTGTTAGATACACACTGAATCAGGGGCGTGGCTCTCTCTGTCGCTGTGACGCGATCGACTATCCCCGTCGCAGATAGCGAAGACGCCCTTATTTGCATGCAGCGTCGGCGTCGGGACGCTACCAGCGGGCGTCTTCGCGGCGTTGCCTGATGAGAAAGAATTCCGAAAATTCAAGGATTTCACACATGCTATCAAGAGGCAATGTAACTTCCGAAAGTTATCATCACAAGTACACAAACTCACATTATCAACCTCTGTTTCAAATCCTCAGTAATTGATCGCCAATTTAAATAAAGCATAGTGACACCAATATTTAAATCTGGAAGTAAGGACTATATGTTTAATTATAGACTTATTTCAGTTATCAATGTATTTGGAAAGATTTTTGAGAAGTGTTTGAATAGCAGACTTTGTTCTTTTCTTGAGGAATATGACATAATATCGAACTGTCAATTTGGGTTCCGCAAAAATTGCAATACAGGGCAATCTCTACAAGAACTTATAGGACAAGTGCTTGAACATTTCCAAGATGGAAATTAGACTGTTGCAGTTTTTCTAGATCTTCAAAAGGCTTTCGATTCAGTATCTCATAAAATTTTATTAAAGAAACTAGAAAGTGTTGGAGTGCGTAGTTAAGTTAAAGTAGGGTCAGATTTAAGCAGCATTCAGAAGATAAAATAGGTGTGCCTCAGGGGACGGTTTTGGGACCAACACTGTTCCTCATATACATAAATGAAGTACTTCGATGCAATTTCAACTGTAAACTGATAGCATATGCAGACGATACTGTTTTAGTTTGAACTTGTCATTCATGGGTTGACGCAATACGGAATGACGAGTTGTCATTAAATAAAGTCAAATGCTGTTTGGATAACAATTTACTTAAACCTAATATCTCTAAAACTAAGTATGTGACGTTTTCTCCAACCAAAGCAGGCATGCCATTACACCACCGAACATCAATTATAAATGATAGTGCTGACACTGTCGAAAGACTTGAAGTTATTAGATACTTAGGAATCATTGTTGGCAGTAATTTAAAATGGCAGAGTTGCGCCGAACTTTTTCTTAGGAATATTTTAAGCAGAAAGAGTCTTCTCTCAATATATAACTCGTTTGTGGAGTCTCTACTAACTTACGGGATAAGTATATGGGGAGCCGCATACACTAGTACTTTAAAAATATTACAAACCTCGCAAAATTATAATGTCAGGACTATTTTTCGTATCCCATGTAGGTTATTGTTGCAGATTTACACTGAAAATGATATTTTGAATGTTAGAGGGTTATATATTTTTGCTGCTCGGAAATTTGTTCACTCCAGAAACAATGTTCCAACCAGCCACGCTTACGAAACAACTAAAAGTTACACTTATTCCAGAGTGAATAAATCTGTTTGCCAAAAATCCATAAAGTTTGATGGTATTAGGTTGTATAATAAATTACCCCTAGAATATAAAATCCTCTCGAAGTATAAAGAATTAAGAGGTTCATCTTAAATAACTTTGACATGCATGCATCGATTGTAGCTTAACTCAACCCAGTCATTTAGTTTCTACCTAATGTTTTAATATCTTTTTTTTATATACATTTGCTCATAGTACACTTTGTGACCATTAGCCATGCACTGTGTGACATACACAAGCTTATAGCTTAGGTGTCTATTCTTTTGTAGTAAATATTGCTGTTTGATATGGTTGTATGTTTATAGTTTTGATATTATTATATGAATTTTTATTATATGAACAAGCGATTATTTAACTTGACCTGTTAATATTTACTGTGAGACAAACCTTGAAACTGACTTTCAACAATAAATTGAATGCCGCCATTTTGTATCCAGTATAACGGATGTTACAAGATGACAATTTATCATTTTCACAGTAACTTCTATGACATGGGTATTAAATAAAAGGACTTGATGAGAAAACCGCAATAAAAAAGACTCGAACACCGGAAAGCTGGCAAAGAATACAATGACTACAGCATTTATACGATTTTCCGTACAATAGCGTTTTTGGATAGGGTCAATTTAGCTCGATGAGGAAATATGAAGGTCACTTCTATGCCAGATTATGTGAAAGTTTAGTTTATTCAATGAATCAAAGCAGTTACGTCACAACGTCAAATAATGACAGTGACGCACATGGTTGCCACATTAATTAAAACTACAAGATCCTAGGACATTTTACAAAATCTACTTTATGTGTTCGATGCCTTATCGCAACCAACATAACGTATATTTTGTAAACGCTAGAGCTATTATAAATTCTATTTACTACGTAGTACCTCTCTTACCTACTGTAAAGGCAATAATGGAGCTCCATGATCTCGTTCGGTCTCAAAATATTTGGTCAGAGAAATGACGAATTCTTTTGCTTGTCGACCCAGAGGTTTCGGCATTTTAGCAAAATGCTTAAACGGACACCTCAAAGCTTAGTAAAAACTGTTTTTATAAAACATCAAAGCAAATATTGAGGCAAAAAACCAAAACTAAAACACAAATAAACAACAGATGTTGCCGTAATTACCTGACAAGTTTTGCGATAATGCCACAACACAGAAAACTGTTACCAACATAAATGTACCCGGGAAATTCAAACTATACATACCAATTTAGGATCTATTTTGCATTCAAATTTAATAAATATGACGTAACTGCTATGTTTCAGTGACTCGACTATACCTAGAAAACACAGAGGGGAAGCATTTTCGAAATTCAAAAAATAGGTCCAAGATCCCATTCAGTTGGCCCACTTCAAGATTTGTACCAAAATATGCCTTTATAAACTGAACATGACGAAACTATTTACTTCTAAAACAATTGAAAGATTACCATTGGGTAACATCACCTTTATTTTTTATTACGGCTGAAATTCTTTGGGGCATAGTGTTAATCAAGTTTTGGCAAAAATTTGGTGTAAAACAATCCCATATTTCTTGAAGCTTTTGTCTCAGTTCGGTGATTGTACGAGCAGGATGTTGTCGTAGAACCTTTTTCATCTCGTGCCACAAAGTTTCAATAGGGGACAGATCTGGACTGCTAGAAACCGATTTCAAAAGTGGTACATTATTTTCTACCATCCATTTTGTAGCCTTTTTTGAGGGATGGCACGGTGCACCATCTTGCTGAAACACAAAATCTTGGCCGGATGTCAAACATTCTTCCATCACTGGTAAAAGCGATTCTTCTAAAATTGCCAAATATTTGTTTGTATCCACATTTCCGTCAATAAAATGAAGTTTTCCTACTCCTTTTGATGACATACTGCCCCAGACCATAATGGATGCTGGAAATTTCACTTTTCTCTTCAGACAGTCAACATGGAATGCTTCTAGAGCAAACTATGGAGCGACAAGTTTCCGAAATTTTTATGAGAAC